TTCAGGTGTTCTTTGTATTTGGGTTTCTGACAGACAAATATTTACAAAAATGGAAATATTTGTTCCGCAGGGAGTGAAGAAACCACAGCTTAGGCACTGTAAGAACTAAGCCCACAGCAACCAGTAATTCCATGTCATGACTACCAGCCCATAGACTAAATATGTGTTTCTTACACTAGCTTAATTGTCTACATCACAAATGAGTGGGCACAGCTGTAATCTCAACATTTTAGAGGCAGAGGCAGGAGGATTGTTGCCTGGTCTGTGTAAGGGTAACAAAACATGAGCCTGTCTCTAATAATAATAACAACAAGAACAAGAAACCTCACTGAATTGTTCAGGTAAGAGAGCTAGAAAGTCATTATTTGTACATATTTACTTTAAAAAGTACCTTTTCTTCCTCTATCACCTTCCTTCTGTTCCCCTCCCATAAGTATTAGCACCCGAATGGCTAATCACATGATCTTAAAGCCACATGGATGTGAGGAAGCAGAAACCATAGACACGGTGACTTATGTCAGCACCAGGGCATCAGCGATGGAAGTTTCATGGACAAGGACCTGCTAGGATCTCCTCCTTGGGTGCCCTTCATCATTTTAGGGCACACCCTTCTTTCTTTTACAGAGTTGTAGCAGCAGGATACCATGTTCTATTCTCTCCTGAGGGCCTCAGTCTCAGTAACCCTGCCTATAAACCAGGGAGAATGGATTACTGTCCTCTGCTTCCTGACTGTGGATGCAATGTGACTAGTTGTTTCATGCTCCTGCCCACATGCCTTCCTGGTTGTAATGGACTGTAGCTTCAAAATAGGAGCTTAAATGATCTTCGCCCTCCACTAAATAAACTGATAATTGCAAACAAGAATAACGACACTCTTTGAAGACACTTAAAACTTATGAGCCTCGAGGCAGTGGTGGCACACCCCTTTAATCTCAGCCCTTGGGAGGCAGAGGCAGTGATCTCTGTGAATTCCAGGACAGCATGGTCTACACACACACACACACACACACACACACACACACACAGAGAGAGAGAGAGAGAGAGAGAGAGAGAGAGAGAGAGAGAGAGAGTTAGTTAGTTAGTTCCAGGACAGTCAGGGCTATACACAGAGAAATCCTGTCTCAAAAAAACAAATGAACAAACAAACAAACAAGTAAATAAAAAACCACCCTCCCCCCAAAAAAAGAAAGGAAAGAAAAGAAAACGTACAGAGTTTGGGGGCTGAAGAGGTGGCTCAGCAGTTAAGAGTGATGGCTGCTCTTCCACATGTCAGACTTCTCATGTCTCATGTCAACTCCAGGGGGATCTGAAGACTCCACCCCCATCAGGCACAGACAGGCAGGCAGGCATGCACACATGCACACAGACACACAGAGGGAGGGAGGGAGGGAGGGAGGGAGGGAGGGAGAGAGAGAGAGAGAGAATAATAGACCACATCTTTAAAGTTTCCTTGTGGAGCTTTTATGACCAGTGCCTTTGAGTCATAACCCTTCCCCGATTTTTCTAAACTCAAAGTGAAACTTTTGTCTAGATCCAAGAGGCTCTCCCACTGTAGAAGTTCTCTCTCTCTCTCTCTCTCTCTCTCTCTCTCTCTCTCTCTCTCTCTCTCTGCCTTTCCTGGCAACAGGAAGCCAGTCCTTCATGTACAGTGAACAGAAGAAGATGCAATGCTAACAGAAGTTACCCTCTTCCAAGAAAAATTAATTCTCTGTCTAGCCTACTCCCTCTGTACCCCAGTGTATTTAAACACAGACACCTCTGGGCAGCCTGTGAGGCAAGTCCTTTCCCTGGAGAGCTGCCTTTCTGGAGTGGTATCTGAACACATTCCAACAACACATGTTTATCTCTAAGGTCAGCCCTTCCTGTTGATGCTCTGGGGGCTGGTAGGGGGAAGAGGGCTAATGGTCTCTGCAGCCACAGGAGGTGAGCAATGAGGGCAACAGGGACACGGCCCCACCCTTTGGGAGGGTGCTAGTATGTCAAAGTTTCTAGAACATGTGTGGCCATGTATCTCCCAGTTCTTCTGTCGCCAGCAGAGAAGTTGGACACCACCTCTTCCATAACTGAGCCAGGACCTGGTGGGTGGGGACCTTTCAGGTGGGGCCACAGGATCTGAAGCCAGGAGAATGGTAGCATTTCCATTGTTTAGTTCAGGATGCACTCTGTTGGGACACAGCTAGCTCTGCCTCTCCCTTTAAGCTCATCTATAGGTGCCAGGACCTTCAGGCTCTGGCAGCAGGACAAAGGGGGGCCACCCTCCCTCACCAAGCTGGGTACAAATGCCGAGTGATTAACACCTTTGGACCCACCCTCAGGAAGACTACAGACCACTTATGCCCACTTGCTGGGAGCAGATGCCCACATGCCTTTTGAGGGGTCCATTTCAGCTCTAGATGCCTTTGAGAATGATGCCTACGGCCAGTTTCAAGACCTCTGACCCCTTTAGGATTTACTGTCAATTGAGACAGCCATAGTCTTTTTCTAGGCTGAGTTTCAGAAGGTGGGAGGATGGCGGCTGAACCATCTGATTCCTGTCAGCAAAACTGAATCATGTCACCCCAGCCCCCATCCTCAGGCCAGGAATATTTACCCATGTTTATATAACCATGGCAACAGGCTTTATTCTCTATCACTTAGACCCTTAAAAAGGGAAGAAATAGAAAGGCAGTTCCATCTCCCTGCTATTGCTTTCTGGAAGAAATAGAAATAGAGAGAGGAGAGAGAGAGGTAGAAGAGAGGGCACCTATACTCTCTCTAGTCATACTAACCTCAGGCTTGCAATGGCCCAGCATCATAGAAGGACTTCAGAATTTGCTGTGCTGATACTTGTGTTCCAAAGTCCTTGGGAGCCATGCAACAATGTGTACATCCCTGATTCATCTGGAAGTCTTCTTGTGATCTCTGTACAGAGATAGTAGTTATCAGTTCTGTTCTTGCCATCTCTTCCATCTTCAGAACAGATGGAATGTAGCAGATGCAGCCCCTGCTAATGTTTTCTTCACCTGCACAATGAGGTATACATTCTTATGTCTTGACTATTTCATGGGTGATCGTCAAAAGGCAGTTTTGTATAGCCAGAGAGACGGCTCAGTGCTTAAGAGCATTTGCTGCTCTTCGAGAAGACCAAAGTTCCATTTCCAGCACTCACAAGGAAGGAAAGCGAGTCAAAACTGCTTGTAAACAGCTGCTTGGGGGGAGGGCGTGGATTTGTTTTTGGCCTCCCAGGGTACCTGGACACATGTGGCACACACATAAAAAATAAATCTTTAAAAAGGAAGAGAGGTTTGTAAGGAGTATATGTTAGACTCACATAGGTTTAAATGATATGCAGGGGAAACTGAGGCCCAGGAAAGCATTTGGGTTGTCGCCCCAACCACAGTGCTGGGTTCTTGTCAAGAGCTCAGACTGCTTCTTCTGGCCTTTCAACCACAGCCAGTACCCTAAATTCCAAAGACGTTCATGCCCAGGTTTCAGGGATGGAGAAAACCACAGATCTGCAAATGTTTACCGTGAGCTCCTTACAACCGGCTGCTGTTCCGCAGGGTGGGGGTCTAACTGTGTAAAAGGGGGCCCTTCGGGGTTGGCACCCACCTCCGCTGTTCCCTAGGAGGCTCACAATGGAGGATGCTGCTCTGATCCTCGAACTTCTTGAACAGATTTAACAGCACCAGCACAGTTCAGCCTAATTTTCTGACTGACACATTACTCTGAAGAGAAGTGAGAAGGGAGTCCAGGACCGCGGTTACAGTTACCAGGTTCTTCACCTATCCCCTAAGTTTTTTGCAGAAGTGATCTTGGCTGGCATTCATCGAATGAATGCCCACAGTGTCTGCCTTCTTCCTTAGCGGCTTCTCTTACGTCCTTTTGGTTCTGCCCCACAAAGACCACCAAAATCTTGCCAGAGGCAAACTTTCCCCTATTAATTTTCTTGAAACAACGCAAAGCAAATTGCCCTAATTACTCTGGCAGGCCGAATGGCGAGGCTTTTGCTCACCAAGGGTAACTCAAGTCGGGCAAGCAGCCAGGAGGCCCGCTTTAGAAGTATCTAGTCTGGCTGGCCTGCAGAAGCTCCCTATCCGTTGTGCCCTAACTCCACCCCTTAGGTCCGGTGGGAGTTGGTGCACCTTGGGTATCTGGGAGATGCCTGTGGACTACACTCAGAGCATCTTCAAGTCCTCTTCTCTTTCATTCAAGAAGGCCTGCATTAGGGAGTCCTAGGGAGGGAAAGGCCTGTTTCTCCACTCCCTGCCAACTCTATTGAAACAACTCCCATCACCCCATCCTTAAATCTTCCATTAAAACTCTTCCTCTGAAGTGGCTATCCTCAGATTTACTTGTCTGTCTCATAGTTCCTTCTCCCCTATGATAAAAGTTATGGAAGGCTGAGACCTTGTCTCAGTTACTCAGTATCACCAGGTCTACCTTGGACACAACAGACTGCCACACCAGCTGAGACCTAGCGGAAGCCGCTTCCTTCTGCTGGCGAGGAGTGGGCCCGGAGGAGATGAAGTGGAGATACGTGCTTCCAGGACCCTCTTTAGAAAGAAAAGGCTTCTGAAGGACTTAAGGGGAAGGCAGAGGAGAGCTTTTTCTTCTCTGAAGGGCGTTAAGATTAAACACTGTGACCCTCCTGCCTAGTCCTAGACCCTATGCCTAGTCCTCACTCCTAAAACTGTGTTCTTCCTTTGTAATAGATAATGCACTTGACTGAGGGCCTTGGCAGTTCCACTGCCCCACAGAACCCAAAACCTAACCAAGACCTCTGCCGGTCCCCCAGTAGTTACTGCTGGCGGCTGCAAGGCTGGTGGCAGACTTTCTCGGGTCCCCCGGCCCGCGCACCCCAACCACTCTACCCATTGGCCGAAGATACCCCTTCTGAGTTCTCATTGGCTGCTGCACTTTTCCTCCGCCCCTACCCCGGGCAGAGAGCCGCGGCGGCGGGGGACGCTGCTCTAAGTCCCCACGCTGGAGCTGGAGCTCAGCTCTGCGCAGATAGGGGCGCGGAGCGCACTGAGAGCCCTACTTTCTCGTGAGCCCGAGCCCGGCAAATGGGCGAATGAGGAAGGAGAGCAGGGACATGGACTGCTATCTGCGTCGCCTCAAACAGGAGCTGGTAAGAGCGGACCAGGAGCCGGGGGACAGGGAGGACTGCTCCACCCAGACCTAGGTACCTGGCAAGGGCCCCGCGCTCCGTGCACCGGGCGGACGCAGAGAGGAGAGGAGAGTAAAGGAGAGGAGAGAGGATGCCAACTGGTAGATAGAGGCTAGGGACGTCGCTCAGAGGCAACAAACTTTGGCAAAGATTTCTGATGAGATATGGACAAGTAACAGGGAGTCAGAGCACCCAGACAACTTGAATGCGGGAGGAGAACTGAAGAGAAAGGTGGGCACACCCAGAGGGGATAGGCACACGGACGGAGTAAGGCTCAAGTGCCCAGAGTCGCAGAAATGACTGGAACAGGCATCGAGCGCCAGTGGTCCGGTGCTGGGCTCCTGTAAGCGCAGACAGATCCCTGCCCTGGGCAGGAGGTCAGGCTGGACTGCTCGCTCGTGGGGAGCTGGCACCGCCCGGGGCCCCCAGCTCTGCTGGGCTTGGCAGAGCTGGCGCGGCTGCGGGGGCAGGCTTGGCCGGCTGTCTGCCTGGGCTTGTCTGCCAGCAGGGAGGGGGGTGGCAGCTGTAATGACGGGGGAGGAGGGGTGCCGCCTGGCAGATCGCGGAGCGGGAGTTGTGGAGGCTCGGCCAGATGTCAGGTCTGGGCTTGGGGAGTGCGCTGGGAGTGTGCGGGGCCTCTGGGTGCTAAGGGTGAGTATGCTACCCTGGGGAAGGGGAATGAATCACTGAAGAGGGATACGTGATTGTTAGGGCTGTGTTAGGAAAGCCAGGTGGATTCTGATTTCTTTCTCTCGATTCTCTCCTCTCCTCTCTCTTCTCTCCTCTCCTCTCTCTTTCCTCTCCTCTCTCCTCTTTTCTGTCTTCTCTCTCCTTCTTGCTCCTCCTCCTCCTCCTCCTCCTCCTCCTCCTCCTCCTCCTCCTCCTCCTCCTTCCCTCTTCCTCTCCCTCCCTTTTAGTGTCCTTTACCACCAGGATTCAGGCAGCTAGGTAGGTAATATACACCTTTTCTCGGCTCTGCCCATCCTGTCTTCATCTAGACTGCCTCAGCTTCCTCCTCCCACTTCACCTCTCAATGTCTCTTTTCATTTTGTCTCCCACGGCAGTAGGTCCTCCTGTCTCACTTTGCTCCTTCTTTCTTCTCTTCGGTCAGGTCACTCAGGCACCCGACAGCAGATCTGGATCCAGAGAGTGCCCAGCTCAGGGTTCCTTAAGTCCCGAGATAACCTTTCTAGCCCTATCTGCAGAGATTCCACTCTGCTTGCTTGGCAGTGTGTAACGGGCAGGCTTTGGTGGTAGTAGGGTGGAGAAAGGAAGCAGAAGTAACAGGTGCTCTCACTGATGCTCCCTGACCAAGATGACCCGGCCCTGGCCCTGGTCTTGTCTGGTCTGATCCAAGAGTCTGCCTTTTCAGGTTATGGTTCACTTCTTTAGTCCTTCCTCCTGAGATCTTTCTGTGATGACACGCAGGTATGAAAGTTACTAGCCCCCCTCCCCCAACCACTTCTTTGGTGAGTGGCCACTGCTGCTCCTCTGAACTGTACCATGCCCTGCACCTCATCAGTTTTCCTATATATGCCATGCTAGTTTGGGATGGTGGTCTTGACTCACAAATATCCCCAGCTCATGTTCCCACGTCATGTGGCCAGTACCAGAAAGACCAAGATCATTATAGACAATGGCGGAGGATCAAAGCCCAAGCTTTGATAACAGCTTTGATGAAAAACATCTGACAGAATCGTCTTTGTGCTTGGAACCTGGGATCATGCCACCTACATCAGGAGCAGCATCTTTAGAGGGTTTGTGGGTGTTCCTGGCATGGGGATGGATTTTCTAAATCTTACTGATTTGCATTTTACGTCACTCTAGGTGGGAGGTGGTGAGGGAGGGGGAAGACAGTCTGCGGATGTCAAGAGAATTTTTTTTTTTTTTTAAAAAGACAAGAAATCTGCACTGAGCTGAGCTCCCAGATTTTGATCTGCAAACCCCCACCAAGGTCTCGAGTGCCCGTGCCTGGGAGAAGGAGACTAACATCACCCACGCCCCTTCAGCTTTCATTTGGCCTTTTGTCTGAGCATCTCCAGCCTTTGACTGTCTTGGAGAGGAAGCCAACTGCCTGGCCTGGGGCCCAGAATGACACTCCGATGGCAGAGTTCTTCACCCCCCACCCCGTGGTACTCTGCTCTCTCCCTCCCGGTGACAGCTTACTGAAGAAGAGTCCTAGCAGAGCAATAGGCAGAGCTATCAGGGTCTTGTTCACCCCCTGACACCTCACCTCAATGTCTAAGTAGCAAAGCTGCATCTCTGAGCCTCAGTGTCCCTAATTGGAGCAAAGAGGAAAGCAAAGTGCTGTTAGCCTGGGCCCACCTCTGAGCTGCCTTCCTCCATGGAATGTAGGGATTGAATTCATGGATCTTGGCTATGGTGGGGATAGGGAACTTTGAGCTTCTTTATATTCTCAGGCTGTAGTGGGGTTAAGTATTACATACATTACATACAGGCTTTTTGTCTGCAGTTGGTTCACTCCAGACAGAATCTTCTGGGCAATCCAAAAGGACTATTTCCTGGTTCTTGCCTAGGAATGCCCCCATGTAAGTTCTGATTAAGGTCTACATTTGCTTATTTTATTAAATTCTCTTCAAGAATGTCCTGTAGACACGATGAGACGAACCTGTTGCAAAAGGGAACTTTAGCAGGTTGTGAAATTTTTTTTGTCCAGGGGATTTCGTGTTCCCTCTCTTATCCAGTTCCCTCCTTGGCACTGAAATTCAACCAAGAAGAGTTGTTCCTCAAAAAGCAACATAGCCAAATGGCCAAATTTCCTGAAACAAAAAGCATGAATTGTAATAATTAATGCAGGAGAGAGTTCAGAGACCCTGGCTCAATTAACTTGGTAGCTAGAGCACTGGTCCTTTCTCCTTGCCTGGAAGGGGAGGAGGGTCAAGTTTCAGGAATGAAAAAGTGGCAGCAGCTGACACTCTTCTTAAATGGGGGTAGGGGCTGCGAAGTCCAGCGCTTCCCTTTCCCTCCAGCTGCCTAAGAGGGACCTGCCTGAACACAGGCCTTGGGACCAGCTGTTCCTTAAACATGGCATCCATTCAGGGTGCCAACAAATGTATAGATAGGCACAGGCACACGGGAGAAGCAGACGTAGGATGCTCACAGATACTTCTTGTGAACTCAGATCAATTCTGAACAAACAGAATGCATAAAGTTTGAATGATCAGAGCTCCTGAAGTTCAGCTAGGCTGGGGAGACTTCCTAGAGGAGGGGAATGTTATAGGAGAACATTATGAAATGTCCATCCTAGTTGGGCCCTGGGGAAGCAACCAATGGACTTCTTTCTCACGGGCTGGGAAAAGTCCTTACAGGGAACTCGTATTCCCAGAAGGCAATTCTCTAGTCACTAGTGGCTACAAGTTTAGGGTGTCCTAGCATATGACTAAGGAATGGGGCTAAAGGCGAAATAAGGGAAAAGAAGGGTGTGGAGAAGTTATAATTGGAGCTTTCAAGTCTTGAGCAAAGCAGTCTCCCCCCCCCCTTTTTTTTTAACAAAGAAAAGCTTCTGCAAAAACATCTCATTCTCTGTGTGTAAATCCCACCCCATTTTTCTCCCCAAGGGAAGATAGAGAGCTTCTGGGTCAGTCTGGGGTCAGTCAGTAGGGATATAGGATTTGGGGTCAGGTCAACTTAAACCCAAACCTTGGCCCTGTCTGACTCTGGCATATTAGTGGCTTTTGTCATCTTTAGAATGGATTATTAAAGATACTTACGTCATATAGCTACTGTGAAGCATAATGACACTATAAGTAAAATCTGGTCTTGAACTTGAGAGTCTCCTGCTCTTAGCCTCCCAGGGTCGGGACTAAGGTGTGTGTTACCAGACTCAGTCTTGGATAAACTTGATGTCATGCTCCTCAGACTGGTCTGCATAAGAGTCAGACAGCTTTACTGAGTTCCTCCTGGCCTAAGGCACTGACCAGACACAGGCACTGTGTATAGATACAGATAAAAACATACCCAGATTTGGTCTTCAGGGAGGAGATAGTTATTTAGTAGAAAAGTAAGCATATATGGATATTGATGTTAAAATGTCAGGGCTGGATTGTGACTCACTATAGAGCACTTGCCTGGCATGTGTGAGATCCTGTGTTCAAGCTTCAGTTCTGAAAAAAAAAAAAAAAAGGATACACCAAATACATTACACCATCCAACTGCTAAAGCAACCTAGGAAGTTGCATTTTTACTATTGACTACTCTGTCTTTTATTGTCTGTCTGTCTGTTCTGTCTGTCTCTGCCCCCCCCCCCAGTGTGTGTTTGCATGTGTCTGTATGTGTTTACTATTTTGAGACAGAGTCTCACTGCCTAATCTTACCTAGACTGGCTGAGGTTACAGGTGTGAGCCACTATGCCCACTTTTATTTTCATTTCTAAAACAAGAAAATAGAGACTGGAAAAGGTTAGGCAACTTGGCCAAGGTCATACAGATGATAAATGGTGAGGGTTGGATTCAGACCTAGACAGATGATGACAGAGCTGCTGTTCCTACCTGCTTGATGGGATGTGCAAAGATGTACAAAGACGGGAAGTAGACGCTCTGAGAACGGAGCAGCAACATCCAGGTACGTGATGCAAGTGTTCTGTTGCAGAGAGACAGCACACACATGAAACCTTGCGGATCAATGAGGACTCACACAAAGGTGGAACCACAATGAAACATGGGCAGATGACACGGAGGCTGAAATCATGTGGGTGTCTGAAGACCAACTTGAGTTTGCTAGACTATATGTAGGGAAATAGTGGGTGGTATAGCCTTGAATATCATGCTAAAGACTGACTTTTCTCTGTGCACCAGACAGCAGCATGGTCAGAGATATATATCCTGAGACTTAGGATGAGAGGAAAAGAAGCAAATGATGAAGTGACAAGAATTAGAAGAGGTCAGGAAAGAGGGTATGACGATCTGAACTAGGAAGGAGAGAAGCAGGGAACTTTTTCAGGT